ACTTTGACTAATTTTCACTTACTTACTCAAGTAAGTACAAAGTATTTTATTCCAATATCTATAATTGAAGATGAATTTCCACAAAATAAATAAGTCATCAATATCACAAGATAAATAGTAATTATTTTGACAACTTTGTATAAATTCATTTCATATGTGCCTACCGTTACATACAAGTTTTCAACTTGACTGCTAATGAAAAGACACCAAAATGTATTTTATATTTGAAATATTATCTCATTAATCCTCTTACAAAAAATATAAAAGTATAACTGTAAGGCTGTCTGCTCAACGTGATGTCTGCTTTGCATAAATCAACCGCATTTTGTCTAATTTTGAAAAGTGTGAAAAACAATTAGCATCTTTCTCGGCCTTTTTCGGTCATCTGATATAATTAATGCTTGAGAAATATAATTATGTCGGTATTCGCGGACCAAGTTTATTCTGAACTGAATCGTATCTTCCAACGTTTGTTAATGTTAATGAAATTCGTAAATTTCAGACAGACCGCAGAGAATTGGGGTTATGTTGGGAAGTAGGTTTTATTCTGAGACCTCTTACTCTAATAATACCTACCTTTATCCGACCGGCTTCATTTTCTTGCAAATAAAACTGTTATTGATATGTGGGACTACTACGACAGAAATTATTCAATTCCAAATACAGCTGAAACACTAGTTGATAATTGAATTCTATTATAGTAATTTGAAAAATCAATTGGAAAAAAAAATAATCTCATAGTAATTGGAATAATCAAAATTTGTTGTTGTTTGGACAGTCTGAAAATAGGCATTCATTAACTGAGGATGTATACAGAGTGGGCTAAATTGGGCACTGGAAGTAAACTTCTGTTTTCAAACTAGACAGATGTGCTTGAGGGCCAAATTTTATGACAAATGTGAAGGTGAAATCGCAAATCCTGATCTATCATCGTTTCTGAGTTATAGCATGTTTTTCAAACATAAGCATTTAGATAAGTTGCTGTAACTTTTTTCCTGTCGAAAATTCATCACGAAACATTGTCAATCACCTTCAAACACCGTAGATCTTCTCTCGCATCTCTTATAAAGAAAAACATTATACTTTCTAATTTCAAGACCAATGTCATTCCATCTCAGATCGATAAAAGTAAATATAACCAAAACTTTTCTGAGCTTGTTTTGGGTGAAATAGCTGACGGTGACATTAGGTCATCTATGAGAATCTTGAGCTCAAGTGATACGTTGGCCGAATACGATGAATCCACACTTTCAGTTCTCCAATCAAAAGACCCTTGATCAGATTCTTTCACACATTCTCTGGATTCGCAGCCACCACATGATTTTTAAGAGTTTCCGGTGTTTCAATTTTCAGAACATGAAGTATCGGAGAAAATTGAATCTTTTCGTTCTGGTTCTGCTGGTGGTTTAGATTCTTTTCGCCCTAGCCATATGCAAGACCTCATTAGTCACAGCTCTTGAAATTCAGGACAGAAAATTCTTTTTTCTGTTACAAAATTATGTTACTTCATTTTTACTAGAAGGGTTTCTTCAGAAATTTGTCCTATATTTTTTGATGCTTCACTGTGTGCTCTTCGGAAAAAGGATGGAGAAGTAACACCGATTGCCGTCGGTACGTTTTATCGTCGATCGGTAGCTCAACTTGCTTGTATGAGGATTAAAGACGAACTAGGATCGATGTTACGTCCACTACAGGTTGGTTTCGGTACTGCAGGTGGATGTGAAGCTGTTGCTCATGCTGCTCGTAGATATATTAATCTTCATCCAAATCCCGATTCAAAAATTTTCCTGAAAAAAGACTTCAAAAATGCTTTCAAAATGATTGATAGAAACATCATGCTTCGTAAGATTGAATATTCGTTTCCAGGATTATGTCCCTTCTCAATTCAGTGTTATAAATCAGCTTCCTATTTAAGTTTTGGTGAACATCTGATTCTGTCTGAGAGAGGTGTTCAACAAGGTGATCCCTTAGGACCTGCTGTTTTTTGCTTGACCATCAACGAACTTACTAGAAGCTTATCATCCGAATTTAATTGTTGGTATTTGGACGATGGCTCAATCGCTGGCGATGAAAACAGTGTTTCAAAGGATTTAGAAAAAATCATTGATTATTCAAAACATCTTGGACTTGAACTGAATTTTGAAAAATGCGAGTTGATTACTCTTTCAACTCCGAATAATATTTCCGAATCCATTTTGAAATTGGCTCCTGACATAAGAATTTTGGAAAAGTCTAAATGGAGTCTTCTGGGTGCTCCTCTCTCTAAAGATTCACTTTCAGAACATCTTCGAGAAAAACGGGAATCACTCAATTTGCTGACCACCAGATTGAATGAACTTTCAAAACACGTTGCATTTTTTCTTCTGGAAAATTGTTTGGCGATTCCAAAACTCATGTACGCTCTCAGATGTTCCCCCACTTGGTCAAGTCAGTTAGAGCTTGACGAATTTGATAATTTACTCCACCACACGACGGAATATGTTACAAACAATAATTCCAATAATGATGCATTGCTCCAAGCAACACTTCCTGTAAACCTTGGCGGACTAGGGCTACGTTCGGCTTCTTCCGTAGCTTTACCAGCTTTTTCGTCATCAGTCAATAGTGTTTTTGATCTTATCGATTCCATCCTTTTTTCCATATTTATCAATATCCAAGACGTTTTTTATGCTGAAGGTGAATCACTTTGGCATGCCGCAACTAATATTGCTCCTCCTACAGATAAAAAGAAAATACAAAGTGCATGGGACCGACCTCTTCTGAACATTATAACTGATAAACTTCTGAATCAGTAATGATCAAGGAATCGGGTGCTTGGCTGAATGCTTTACCTGTTGCATCTCTTGGAGCACTATTAGACGATGAATCAGAATAGCAGTAGGACTTAGGATGGGTTAATCTATTTGTGTTCCTCATACTTGTGTTTGCAGTAGTATAGTAGATGAGAAAGGTACACATAGTTTGAGTTGCAGGAGAAGTGCAGGACGTACATCTCGTCATCACCAAGTGAACGAAATATTGAAAAGAGCTTTGTTGTCAGCTGATATTTCTGCAATTCTGGAATCCTTAGGTACCAGTCGTGATGAGGGTAAACGACCAGATGGTATGTCTCTCATATCATGGAAATACGGTAAACCTGTGGTATGGGACTTCACTTGCGTTGACACGGTCGCATCTTCCCATCTAGCCGGAAGTTCGAAGTCTGCTGGAACTGCAGCATTGCCTGGCGAGAAATTGAAAAGGATAAAATNAGATCCTACTTGTATATTCCTTTGGAGGTTGTCCTTTCTTTTGCAATCCCCAACAACGGCTTTCTATACAAGGTCCGTCCAGTTTATCAGGATTGGGGGAAGTCTGTACTGTAACTAGCAGAGGAAATCAAGCAAGCTCTATCTACTAAGCAGGGATGAAGCTGTCTTCAAGCGGTTAGGTGTAAAGCAGAGTTCTAAACATGCATGCTAGCTAAATTGGTGTATAGCTATAGGACATAATGATTTGGGAACTGGTAATATCCTTCGTACAGAGAAAACGTAAAACTAGGTACTAAACAAAAAGAGACCTGAGAATACAGAAAAGTTACTAACCTGTGGATCCATTAATACATACGAAATGCACTTATTAGAGGATAATCCCCAGAATGTGTCCCAGCGGAATATCTACCTTCGATTGAGGGTGGTCTCGGAGAGAGTTTCGTCAGGAAACGTTTGAGGTTAGTTGAAAACCAAAATCCACATTAGATGGTTGAAATATCAATCCTATGACAATTTTCTTGATGATTTTACTACCACTTTTTATTTTTCAGACTCAGAAAATCCTCTATAACTTGAGAAAATCACAACCACATGTTCCACTTTGATAAGCCCACAATAAAAAAGAAAAAGAAACAGATAGATTCTGGAGGTCAAACTAGGAATATCAGTGACATTTCATCAAAGTTGAGAATACTGAAGATGACTGAAATCAAATTTTGAATATTTAGCCTAACCTAACCTGTATGAAAATGGAAAGTTGAGGAATGGTGATGAAACAGATAATGTTCTTATTCTTTTCGGAAATTCACAATGAACTAAACTGGTATCTTAAATGAGAAAGCATTCAAAGTAGGTAAAGTACTTCTTTTGCTGATTGAACATTCAAAAATATAACTTTATTTCAGATATTTTTCTGCTGTGCAAGATCATCGACTTCAAGTTATTCATCCTGAATGATTTGATACATTTTATAATGTTTTGGCTTACGAGAGCGCTATTAAAGTTATGAGTCAACTAGGAGGTATCAGTATAATTGAACCCGTAATACACTCCTCTTTCCCGATAGAAGTTTTTTTTTCTCAATCTGGGGGATGAGCTTCTAAATATTCTGCGTGCTCAACACCGCAATCCCGGCCAAACTCATCCTGAAGCTCATATGTCCATGGAGACACAATTCGAGTCACAACCATCGGACCTACTAACCTGGGAGCGAGCTTGGCTGTGAAATCCCTAGTCGCGTTAGAGATGACATGGTTTCTTTTCCAAACCTTCTGTGATTTGGTAAGGCGCTTATCCCGTCGTCTTAGATTGTATCCCTTTTCACTTATCTCGTTTGCTTTCTTCAGTCTTCGAGATACATCTTGAAAAACCTCTCTATGATTCTCGTTACGAGTTGAAATATCTTATTCTCGGTTGAATTCTATAATATCTCCAGTATCGGGATTAACAAACCGTAATCTGACGCATCCGTTTGTATGGTGAATGGTATGTCAAAATTGGGACAGGAAAGGACCGGTGCTGAGATAAAACGATCTTTAATTGTATCTAATGCTCTCTCGCATTCCTCTGACCAGACAAATTTGGCATTCTTCTTCAAAAGAGCTGTTAGTGGAGCTGTTAGAGTTGAAAAGTTGGGTATGAAACGACGGTACCACGAGGTCAAACCAACTATCCTCCTCACTTCAGAGACACTCTGAGGAGTAGGAATGCGAATAATGGCCTCGACCTTTCCAGAGTCAACCAATAAACCAGTAGAATTCACAACATATCCCAAATATTTCAACTCTGGTCTACAAAAACAACATTTCTCTTTATTAAGGGTCAATCCAGCGGCCATGATTCGAGACAAGACCTCTTTCAAAACAGAGATGTGTTGATCGAAGGTGGGAGTACAGATGACCACGTCATATAGATAAACGAACACATACTGCTCAAGGTCCACTCCCACTACTCCATCAAAAAATCGCTGCCAAGTAGCTGGAGCGCTATGTAAACCAAAAGGCATTCTACAAAACTGGAAAAGTCCTCGAGTTGGCACGACAAACGCCGTAAGGGGTCTGGAAGCTTCTGCCACCTCAATTTGCCAATACGCCGATTTTATGTCCAGTGTGGTCAGAAATTTTGCATCTCGTAACTTATCAAGTGTAGAACTAACGAATGGTAAAGGGTAGGCATCAGGAAGACTTACTTCATTAAGTTTTTTATAGTTCACGCAGAATCTAAATTGACCGTCGGGCTTTTTCACAAGAACAACGGGAGATGCCCATGGTGAATTGGAAGGTTCCACTATCCCCTCTGCCAACATTTCCTCTAATTCAGTGTTAACTTGCCTTTGTGATGTAGGGGAGAGTGGATAGTGTCTTTGTTTTATCGGTGGGGAGTTGGTTCAAATATGATGTTCAACTGTATCAGTACAACCCAATTTGTCTCCCATTGACCGGAAAGTACTATCTATTAGGTCATCTAATATTTTGCGCTGTGCAGGGGTAAGATGATCTGTACTGTGTATCGCTCAGGTCTCTGTTGTTACAACACCTTCCTCAGATCTGAAAGTCCATAATTCTGAGTAAAAGTCCGGTACAATTCCCATTTTCGACCAGAAGGTCGCTGCTGTTTTGTAATTTCGCGTGATAAACGAAGCTCCTCAATTCTTTCCAAAAAGTTGGTAACACTCGACTCACCATCGAAGTGTATTCGCCACCTTGATACATCAAAATTTGGAAATCTCTCTTCTGGGTTGTGATGAACCAATACTACATCATCAGCGGATGGAAAAGCGAGGTTACGAAGCCGCGAAGTAGAATTCATTAAATCCCTATAATTTTCTGAGTTGCATCCATGCACTTCTTCCCCTCTTCCCATATCCGAGAAGAAACTTCGAGGCCGGGTTGGGTTGTGCCCTAAAAGAGAAAATCCTGCGTCTGTACTGAATCTAACAGTTTCCCGTAATGGTCTATTTCCAATTGGATCTATAGTGTTAACATGTTCTTGAATCCGTTGAGATTCGTTTCTAACTGCTTCATTTCCAATAGGTTAAACATCAGCTTCTTCCTCGATGAAATCAATCAAGAAAGGAATATCTTCATTCAGTTGGTTTTGAAGAGCTGTAAGTGTTCGTTGCATATTCATCCGTGCCGCTTCAAGCTCTCGGGTTGATCTATTATTTAAAGTAGTATTGTTTGTTAATATCACTTCAGGCAATAAAGGATTCTGTTCAACTAAAATATCTCCTCCAATTTCGTTAACCCCATTCAGTAATGAACCATCTTGTGACATTTCTGGGTTGTGCGACTCCATCAACTCTAAATTTTCATTGATCGATTCTAAGTTGCTAAGAAGTTGACCACATCGTGTAAGTAAAAACTTTTTTCTTTCCTCCAAGTGGCATCATTGTTCACCGCTACTCTAATCAATCTTAGACGGATATGGTTAAGCCGAGACGTAATACGCTTATTCTCATTCACTCGATTAGTAATATCAAAGTTATCAATGTCATTTTCTTAAGTAAGTAACTTTCTATTACAAACATAAAATTCTTCCTGAGGTGAAAGAATAACGACTGGAAGAGAAGACGCCTCTCCCTCCTTTTCATTTCTTAACGCCGCTCTTAGGGTTGCTCTATTTTCTGCGACTGTACGCCGAACAGGTAAACTACGGATCATAAGCTCATGA